CTCTTATGTGAGCTGGTTGGCTCACGCCTTCCATGCGAAAGTCCGGTCCGTACCGTGGAAATGTACAGCCGAAGAGCACCAGAGAGGGCAAAGCTCTAAATCAATGCTTCTCCAGAGTATGTTTGAATGGATGAGCTGACAATTGTTCGTAAATATTAAGAATGAGAGATGACCAGTCCATATCAATAAAATGTATTGCACACCATTATTTATAGGCTGAATGCTAATCTTTAATCTATGTTGCACGATTCAAAAATCGGGTGTACCCTGCATGGCAACATATTCTCATCTTGCATGAAACAATTTTGAAACGAAGAATAAAAACATCTACAAATTACAAAATGCATTTGTGGCTCAATGATCATCTAACATGATCAAGCTTAAGAAGGATTTAAGCCCAAGCTCGGTAATATCATACTGCGAAGAATACCATATGAAACTGTTGAGACAGAAGAAAAATATTTTACATAATGGGTCCATTGATCTTCTGTAGTGATCGGACTAGACACGAATCAAGCATCGTGATCGCAGATAAGACATGGAATCGCACTAATATTCGTGTACTGCAATCTCCGGTCATCGAGATGAGGTAGGTGGGCCACAGAAGTATCAATTTATTTAATGAAGTCGGTGGTTAAACGAGCAACAACCAATCGCTGTCCGTGTTCTCCGAATCACACGTCTTCTGTCTGAACTGCATGGCCTTTGATTGGCCGAAACCGTTGGTCCGTTGTCCAGAAACGGTAACACAGCCCCTTAACTGGTGTTACCGTGCAGGGTTGAATAATCATATCCTTATCCGGTCTCTCTTGGATTCGAAGCTAACCTACGTCGTGAAATGATGAGTGACTTACTAAATGGTTCAGAAAAATACTGCTCCATCAATACTCGCGCTTTATGCCAATCAGCCCCGTCCCCAAAACTTTCGCAAATAGCACTCCAACTATCTAATATCACCCGATTGGGTCTTCTCCTACCTGACTGAATTTGACAAATCTTGCAGTTCTTCACACCCCCCACCATCTGATCTTTCTTATTAGATGGCTGTTTTTCAATATGTTGACAATGTAGAGGGATGCTCCATGCTCCGTGCGTTGGCTTCGTTAGTTTGTTCTAGTAGAAGACCGCCTAATCACTGGCAATTTTGACCGTGTATGGATGTTCAAAACCCCATTGTCATCGTTCTCCTCCTATACAAATTGCCATCTTTTGGACAGCCTGATTATTCAGTCCATTGATCTCAGGATTAGTTCCCTAATGGAACTTAATCGACAAAGGTTGGTGAGAACATATCCAAACCGATAGTAGCAAACTCTGGCAATCTACATGGTAAATTAGATTCTTCCCGGTTTTCCACCTCAAGTGATCTCTCTGATCCTAATATTCCCTCTCCTGTTCACCTTTTTTGTATGCTCATGGCATAGCTCTACCACGGACAATTTCACCTCAGTGCTAAACTAACAAATTCTCAGACAATCTATATCATATTCACGACTTTTCCACTGATTCCACGCTCGCGTCGAAACTTTCCAAAGATTTTGAATGGATTCTCCACACACGCATTCTTGATATTTTCTCATTAAGTCATTCTCATTTACTTTCCTGAGTTAACACTAAACAACTTGGTGCACACAATGCTATTACCTTACTCCATTCTGTTGGTATAAAATTTGTCCGTAGCCATACCACCGATATTAATCTGATTTGGTACATTGATGACCACACAAATCATTTCTGAGCAGAGAAAACAATCGGATTTTGACCACGATATTCCTAAAGTAATTTATCCTAGAAAATATGCCACTGAAGGTGCCAAATGCTATTTAGCTCCACCCACGAAAACAGTGAAAATATCAAGGTGGTTTCGCAAAGCACCAAATTTTATTCATCATGATTAAATCACCACGCTAAGGCATAACTTCAATCGGGTCCCAGATTGTCTGTAAGTTGAAGGGGCTCCACTGCTCTCAGCGCTGCCGGCTGACCAGTTAATGCTTTTGATGCCCTGGTGCAGCGATCATATATATGGAAACATTCACCCGATGTAAACTGATGGTACATAGTGAATTTTCGGGAATCACAGAGAAAAGAAACTCGTTCAAGATATGGACGTAAAATTCATCTGTCTGATGCTCATGGAAAATGTTAGGACAGAGCGCACAGAACCCGTCCTGCTACGCAGCGACCCGCGTCACACCACAAGTGCGCTCGTGACGCCCAAGCCGAATCGACTCTTGATTGGATGACTAAGCCGAATCAAATAGCTGTCGTCCGATCGATCAACCTGAGTGTCAAGGTCACGATCTGATTGGCGCGTCATCACGTCTTTTCGCGTACGCTCAATTTTTACCATATATTTACTTGTTGTTCATGATCAAGAATACACTCTGACCGTCGTTTCTCAGCAATGTTCTTTTCTCCAGTTGTTGGGGACTAGACAAAGAGGCGCACGTATCGATCTTACGTCTTGGCATAAGACCTAACAGAAAGCCTCCAGGTTTCGATCCGCAGGACAACCCACCTCCCGGGCACCGGCCCCATGGCTGAAGGCCAACTGTATCTGGCGCAGGTTATACCGGTAGTACAATAGTTTCTCAGAAACATCGAGGTTAATCATCTTCTGTTCGGTAAAATTATCCATTCAAGATTCAGATTCATGTGTCTTCCAGCCCATGGAAATCTATCATCAATATGGCGGTCGGTAATCCATGGTGCTTAATTGATATTTCTGAATCCTAATTTTGGTGCAGTTCGTATCAGCTGTCGCATGCACCGCATATTCCAATCCATATAAAGTGATCACCCTGAATTAGATGCACTTCTCAAATGACATG